AACATATATGATATTATTGTTTTAACAGATTTAGCTTCTTTTGCAATGAGTTTTGCGATAGTAGTTAAATGCCATCAGGGACCTAGCCTCAGTAGGACTGCCCCAAAGTAGCTAATCTTGGAATAGGTATGGCAACAAGAGGGTTCATTTTCTTCATAACAATTCCAAATCTCTCTGATACATCAAGTTCCACTTCAATCGGTATTTCCCATTCAAAAGAGTGCAACAGAGTAGCCAGCACATACTTCATCATTCTCTCAGCTAGAGGAAGTCCCGCACAAATTCTCCTCCCAGACCCAAAAGGAAGAAAATAAAAAAAGTTTCCATGGTAATCACCTTTTTCTGGTTCTTTCAAGAACCTCTCCGGTTCAAATTCCAAAGGGTTTTCCCAAACCTCAGGGTCCCTCTGAATTTTCCATAAATTAATCAAGATTTTGGAGCCTTGAGGGATTGTGTATCCGGCTATGCAACAATCCTTGCTGGGGTTGCGGGGCACCAGGAAGGGAACTGTTGGATGTAATCGGAGTGTCTCTTTTATGACTGCATCCAAATATATCAGTTTGGGCAAATGAGACTCCTCCACAATGTTCTGGTTTCCGACCACTTCCTCAATTTCTTCCCTTGCTCTTCTCATTTTTGCTGGATGTCGTAGCATTTCTGTCATTGTCCACTCCACCGTGGTTGCTGAAGTATCTGTAGCAGCAAGTAAAATATCCTATATGTTGTAAAACAAAATAAACTCAAATCAGACAAATAAATATAGCAAAAAGAGCTTGGTTATTAATTTAAAAACCTTAATTTAGATAAAAATTATTGATTTAAACCTTTGCAATGCCAAACATTAAGTATCTATTGTAGTAAAAAGAAAGAAAGAAAGACCTATACATCAGGAAAACCCAACATCGCAAGAGATGAAACAGTTTTCGTTAGATTTACCATAAACAATGCTTTAATTTCATCCATCGATAAACATGGGGTACTTCCATCATCTTCTTGATGCCTCAGTTCTAACAAGAACTGCAACAAATCCTTGTTTTTACCCTTACCGTTAACCTTCATTCGGCCTGCTATGACTGATTCAAACATCTGATCGAACCAAAGAAGAATCTTCTTCGTTTTTGACTCGATTCCTTGAAGATCAAATGGAGCCAAGACTGGGAAAAAATCAGAGATATTGGGTGTTGAGGCCAATTCAACAACCTCCTTTACTAACCGTCTAAACTCGGGCCCTATGCTGTTCCTTTCCTCCCCAAGCAACGGAGCACCCCATACCATGCTCATCGTTATGTTCAGCACCATAATAAACATTTGCTCGCTGATATCAATTGGGGAACCGGCCTTGCTATGCACATCCTTCACCATTTCTCGTACTCCCTGTTGGCGAAGTGCATAGCAGGCATCAAGGCTCGCATTGCTCATCAGTTGATGAACAAAAATCTTTCTCATCTTCCTCCACTGCGGGCCATTAGGGCTGAAAACAATATCAATCCCACCATACAATAGAATCTTCGAAGTTGCTAAAACATCATGGTTAGCAAAGATTGCATCGTTGTCTTTTAGGATTATTTTGGCGAGCGAAGCGGAGCTTATGACAATACAAATCTTTCTGCCCAGTTGGAGCCTCATGATGGGACCATA